ACATCGTGCAGCTGCTAAAAAAATAGAGTGCGGAGGATATTTTTAACGCGGACGAAACCGCTCTCTTTTTCAAGATGTTGTCGCACAAGACGTTAGCCTTCAAAGGCGAGCCATGCCATGGCGGCAAACAAGGTAAGCTGCGGATCACTGCACTACTTTGTGCAAACATGACCGGCTCTGAAAAGCTGCCAATTTTCGTAATTAGCAAAAATGCATCCCCTCACTGCTTTAAGGGGAAGAGGCAGCTTCCAGTCAAGTACGTAGCCAATCGCAAAGCCTGGATGACCAGGGAGATTTTTTCAAAATGGCTTTGCGAATGGGACGAGAAGCTGGCAAAGGCAAACCACAAGGTGTGCCTTGTTTTAGATAACTGCACCGCCCATCATACCGCTGCCATGCTTCAAAACATCGAGCTGCTGTTCCTTCCTGCCAACTGCACAGCAAAAATACAGCCGCTTGACCAAGTCGTGATTATGTCGTTGAAGGCAGGTTACCGCAAGCGTGTGATAGACAAGCTCCTGCTCAACGTGAGGATGAAGCGAGGCACCGATGTTGACTTGTATGCTGCGCTCGAAATGCTTCAGGCGGCGTGGATGAGTGTGACGGCGACCACGATCACAAACTGCTTTCGACACACCTCATTTGCCGCCGCACCAGACGCCAGCGATGAGCCATCAGACGAACCCACTGTGCCGGACCATTTTGCCACATCAAACGAAGTCGCTGCATCATGGACGGCACTTCGTGACGCCGGTGTCGTGCCTGACAGCGAGTCGTTTTGCGACTATGTAAGTGCGGACTCGGAAGTGGTGGCAACGGAGCAGCTCCTGGATGACGATATTGTGCGCGCTGTCAGTGATCATAACAAAACCAGTGACGATGACTCTGTCAACAAACAGGAGACAAATGTGCCGACGGCGTCGGAGGCATTAGACGCGGTGGACGTACTGCGCCGCTACTTCGGCGCTCACGAGGGCGGCGAAGATGGCTTGATTATTGCGGCCGCAGCTGAGCGAGCCATCATTCGCATCAGGAAGATGCATCAACATCTAATTACGGACTTCTTTGCAGCTAAGTCTGCCTGAAATGCAAGCTGTGTATTTTGAAGTGCATTAAAACAGGTGCAAGACTTTTTCCTTTTCATTTGGGAATGCGGTTATTTTGTTGTATACCACCGTGCGGCGGGATGCTATTTCGCCCGCTATTTTTTTGGGGTAAGTACAGTGCATAATATTTGCGGTAAATGCCCGCAACGGCTATAACGAAATATTGGTTATAACGAGCAAATAGCGGCAGCCCTCCAATTTCGTTATAACGAGGTTTAACTGTAGGTAATCTGCCAGCTTCAGATATCGCTAGACGTATTGAATCATTCTGGATGGAATTCCACTGGGGTCCTTGATTCACACCACAGCTGTATGTGCTATAGAGGGCAGCCCAGATATGCAGGCTTATAACAAAATAAAAGATTCTGTTGTCCATGCAGATGGTGACTGCAGATATCAATTTAAAAAAGTTCTACTTGCCGCCCATTCGCGAGAAGCAGTGCGTGCAAGGACATACATACCAAATGAATTTACTTTTGCATCTTTACAGCGCTGTTTGTTCACTCAGCAAACTAGAATTAAGCACTGTGTTTATAAATTACACAAAGACTATATCAATATGGCTTATACCAACAGGGGTACATACCGTATTTACACGATTGTAAGACGACCCTTTTTTTCAAATTTGACAATCCAATGTTGGGGGGTCGTCTTAGAATCGAAATCGAACCATGTACCTTAGAATCGAAATCGAACCATGTATTGTCATCTCGAATAGTTTCCTGCTCAACCCAAAGCACATAGTTTTCCGCGTGCTTATACAAAAGCTTTTCTTTTTTTAGCATCTACTGCGCGCATTGCGAGTGCCTTTATGACGAGCGCACGGCTCTTAAGCGAGCACGGGTAATCGATGGAAGAGCCGCCGTAGGGGGGTATTGGTAGTTAACGGAAGAGCTCCTCTTTGTGATACAATTTTCTAAGCGGGCGCGTCGCCGCGTGCTCCTGTCGCTTGTGTCCAGGACCGGCTCTCTCGAGTCACTTCTGTCTGACATGAGTGCCGTGACATGAGGACGAAAGTTCGGAATCGGTGAATGTGTGGTGCGGAAGTGGCGGCTTCAGCGTGCAGAAATTTTCTCGTGCGACTCCAAGTGCCATGGCTTTCGCGGGCCGAAGTCTGGCCGCTTTCCGGAACTAGAGGCGAAGCTTGCAGCTTGCGGCCTACGTGACTGACCTACGCGATCGATCGTTGTTGGTCGCGTAGGTCGCGTAGGTTTTTTTTTTTTTTTTGAGATGCGATTTTGGGGGGGTCGTCTTACATTCGAGTCATCTTACAATCGTGTAAATACGGTACGTGCATTCATTAACATCGCTTGTACCAATGTACGACAGTGAGCTTAATAAAGCACAGAAGCATGCGGGATATGCCTGATTTACTTATTAACAAACAAACCCTTGTTTGAAAATAACTAATGCAACTTACCTGCATGAAAAATTGAAGACTGAGAAAAGCAGTAGGCCTCGATCTGCACTCACGCAGTCAAGATATCACATAGTGCAGCATCAAAAACAGCTCAAGTAAGCTGATATTCACTTGCTACACTTTCCACATAAGAAACTGACCCGAAAACAAACTATTACATGCTAATGTCATGCAGATTCTAAAGGAAACCTGCGACTAACACATGGAACACACAGATTCAAAGAAATACAGGTCACGACAGTCACAACATGGGCACAACATGTTTTGTGCTAAACTACGGTGCTAAGGCATCAAGATAATTTGTACAGTATAATGGACCACTATTTCCAATGTTTTTAACCGTAAATAAAAAGTAAAATTGTTTTATTCTGCAGTATTTGTATTACAGTTGAACCTCTTTTTAAGAGACACTGGTATAAGAGACAAATGGGTATAAGAGACACCAGTATGCATACAGTAAAGTACGGGGGATATGAAAATGCATACGAGGTACCCTACATACTCAGCCATCTTGTATAAAAAGAACTGCTCCCTTGAGCATGCCTCTTATAAAGGGGTTTAACTTTATTAAGAAGGTAACTATTCAGCAGTGGTCACTATTTTTGTAGTTCATTGTATATAGACTCACTTTTAAAGCTGGCAGCAACCCCAGGGGGTCGAAATTTCTGGAGCCCTCCACTACGGCGTCTCTCATAATCATGTGGTGGTTTTGGGACATTAAACCCTACATATCAATCAATCAATAAAACAGGCAGAAATCAGGCAAGCCGTTTTTTTCTGTCTACTTTTAAAAAGTGCTAACAGCCCCTTTAATGAAGGTTTATTAGCACTTTTTGTTAGCCGCGCATAATTTAAGCCTTTCAATGTTGATGTCTGCTGCGTGTCACGAGTGAATTCAACCGCTTTTGCATTGAAGTGATGCCGTTTCACTGAAGCACAGTTGTGCCACGTGGTGACGATCATCCTTGGCTACTTGCATGCAGCTCACCGCCTACACGGTTCACGCCATCACTGCCTGGCCACTTGCACGTTTGTACATTTCAAATGTGAATGCATTTCTTAGTCGAGGCATGTCAGGCATCTGTCGGGGTCTCTGCACCGGCAGGTGTTATTTCTCCGCTCTCACTTCCTCTCCCGTAGCAACAGCTGCAGGCAACCGGAGCCACATCATCAGCAACCGGAGCTGGTGATGTGGGCGGAGTAGTGGAGAGTGAGGGGAGAGGAGGAGTGTTCTCTGGCATGAGAGGGCGCTCGCATCGCGGGAGCTCGGCGGAACTCTCGCATGTGTGAAGAAAGTGTAGGAGAGGTTAGGTGTAGTGCTTCGACACTCCTTCTCTCGCCCTTTGCTCTGTCTCTTCCCTGCACCCCACTCTCCCGTCCGCTCACTCGTACCTATATTAAAGTGAAGCGCGTGGGCCTCACTCTCCACCGTTTGCTGGCTGATGAATGTGTAAATAAACGGTTACGGTACAAATCCTCCTCTCGCCATTAATTTACGTCAATGAAATTACTATTACTATGCCATGTACTCTCGGCGCAAAAAATGCATTCGCATTTCCTCACGATTCCCTTCGGTGAGGTGTGGGTAATTTTTTTTTTTTGTGCGTGTATCATTCATACCGAACTGCACAGCTTCAGAGAGAGTGGCCTGTTACGGCTAAAAGGAGCATTTCGCAATCAAAGTGCACTCGCAAGAAAGATGATGTGCAGTACTCTTGGGTTTATTGGTGCCCACCCGCTTAACAACATCGACATCTCTGCTGTGTTGGGCGGCTGGCTGGTCCCGACGAAGCAGAAGAAGAAGACGGCTGACGGAGACGTACGCGACCGGCGGGGACGCTGACCAGCCCGAACACGGGGGTTGGCGCGAAGCGCCGAAGGAAAGAACAACAACCGCACTCCACAGTTACCCAACACACACTCTTTTATTTTACAGTCGCCTTGAAATCCTAGATGCCAGAGCGGCGCCCCCTGGCATCCTAACATGTCAATCTGAAACCGAAACTGAAAACCCAGAACACAACAATCTCGACCCTATTCTGTCCACAGCGTTCCTGTTCTTTGTTTTTTATTGCTCAATAAAGGTGCACCAGCTGGCCTAGCAGTCAGTACTCACCATACTTTGATGACAATGTTCAAGATTGCATGACTGCTGGAAGTACCTTATTGAGGTCTGGTCTGTTCAAAAACAGTGCATGCTTTTAGTTTGTGATGCCACTATTTCAGGCATGAAAGCTAGTTTTTTACTGAGATACTCTTTCAAGACATTCAGTTTACGAGAAATTTCATTGGAGACTTAGTGATAGTGTCTTACAAGAAGTGCCAAGTTTGTTTTTGCATTGGAATCTGTTTTGCTAACTTTCTTGCGGGAAGGGTAGTTTGTCATGAATCTTCACTCTTCAGGTGACTGGTGTCATATATGAAGATTACAACAGTTGCACTTTTCCTAACAGATGTCAGTTTATATTCTGCAGGAAACAGTGATAAGCCCACACATCCTGGACTTCCTGGAACAAGCACTTGAAGCAATACCGATGCAGCAGGCTGCAAAAGCATCACCTGTGGCATCAGTTGGTAAGATTATAGCTTAGCATTTATTTTAGAGCTGTACGAATAGCAAGATTCTGAGAAAGATACGTGTTCAAATATTTAAGTCTCACTGCGAATCAAGTCATATACTCTTCTACTACATTTTGAATCCTTATATAAGAGGCATGCTCCAGGCAACAATTCTTGTCTTTTATGTGAGATGTCTATTATAAGCAGCGTACTCTGTATGCATTTTCTTATCAACCTGTATTTTACTGTAAACACACTGATGCCTCGTATACCCATTTGTCCTTCGTCTCTTATAAGGAGGCTTGGCTGTATTTGTTAAATATTTTTCTAATGCTTTGAAGCCGAACTACAGAAAAAAAGTTGCTGAGGATTTTTAAGCATATTTTTACAATGTAGGAACATGAAAGTGTTACTTTTGGCTAGTTTGAATAAATACTGGGGGAGGGGGACTGCTAAGTTGTGTTCCTTAGATGTGGCATAATGAATGACAATATGCAAAGGCTGCTTTGCATTTATTTACATTATTTAGTACACTACAGTGGCGTTGACAACACTTTACACTATGATGCTGGGATCAGTGCCAGTGAAAGTGGCCACTTGTTCTCTGCACACGGCTAGCTTTCACAGATGCCAGGCGAATGGTATTTAGAAAAAATGACTTGCCATTATTTTTTTCTGAATCACGTTTGAGTTTTGTACGGCCCTTTCTTTAAAATATCTTCACTAAAAACTACCTAGAAGTGGTGTGAAAAATTTGTTCTGCCTGCCAATGTGGTGAGATTCATTGTGGAAATCACGAAAAAAAAAAACATTTTTCAAGAAATTAAACCATTGCAATGGTGCAAACAGGCATATTGTAATGTAGCGCTTGTCCGAAAAAGTGTTTGTCAGTGTTAATATTGCCACGAATGAAATAACAGACAGCGATGAATCGATGTCTTGTTCGCCCCCAGACCAGGAAGCAAAGTCGTCTTCTTTCTTCACTTCACACCCAAACTTCATCGCCTGGTTGGAAGGTAACCTTTGGGTGTGTAAGGTTGTAGCGCCGTGCGTCGGCAGTTTGCGAGCCTGAATACGGTGTCGAGCGAGTTGATGGGCCTCCTCTGTGCGTTGAGCGAACAAAGCAGCATCCACGTTGAACATGCTCAGGTTGTTGGGAAGGAGCATTGCGTCGAGCATTGTAGTGACCTTTTGACCATGAACTAAGCGAAATGGGGGGAAACCTTGTGGGATCTCGACGAGGCGAGCGCGCGCCAGGCCACGCTCTTGGAGTGAACAGACACAGCAGACACGGTCGGTGCAAACCAAAGAGCAATACACGCATTTATTTAACTACTTTTGAACGACGATATCATCTTCCGAATCGATACATCAGTAATGAAAACGCTAGGACATCGTTACACAATAACGTGACAAACACACAGCATGACACACCCAAGGCGGCGTCGCAAACGCTTGACTTACCACGTGGGCCTACAGCAGGCGGCTGGCGGTGTTGTCCACGGCAGACCCACCGCGAGAAACAACCGTTCGCGGCAGCCGCCACACGCAGAAGAGGCTCGCTCAACTCTCGCCCGCCACCAAGGCCTGCCTTCCACCAGGGGTCACCGCCGGCGCTACCACTCTACCAACAGTGGTACTCAACACGAACACTATGCCATCTATCGCACGGCGGTCGTCACCCAAAATGCGGCCTTGGGGCGAGACACGTGCGCCACACAGCGCAGACAACTTTACAGAAGGGTGTCAGCACCCCCACATTTCCCCAATCTTAAATCGAACCATATCCCGTAAACAAAGATCAGCTACACAAGATTTAACAACAACAACAAAAAAAGACATCGCATGTCCATAATGTTCTTGCACCACGACACCGCCGCTGGTCGACACTGGTGCACTGTCCGGCTCGACTTCACCTCAGTACCAGCCCCGCAACAGCAACGTTGCAGTCGGCACGACAAACCATCGCTAGCACCGACACGTCTTCCAGTTGCGACCAGCACTCACGAGGGCGCCGGACTGCAGGCAGTTGCGCAGGTCCCGGGCATCTCCATCGCCCGACCTCACGACCGCATTTCTGGCCTGCAACGCTGACGATGTGCAGAAGACAGCCGGCCTTGGATGACATGCCTCCCGCTGAATACATCAAAAACCAAAAAAACTCAAAAGAAACAATGGAGCAGGGCCTAGGAAAGGGAGCTTCGGGCTTCTCAGCCACGTGGTACGATGGTCAGTACTGCTAGCTAATACATCGGCGGTGGCCGAAACGCCCATCAAAATAAAACAAAAATCACTTATCCTAACTCGTGCACCACAAGATGAAAAAAAAAAAAACGTTGAGGGAAGCAGAGCGCAACACCTCAACGCCACGATCCACCTAGTTGTGCCACGTGCGACAGGCGGCTGCGCAGAGTCTTAGGCCTAATGAGTAGCTCCGCAACAACCGGCATCCACCCAGCTTAGGCGCAGAAGAGGCAGCTGCGAGGAGACGTCCACTCAGCAAGATGGACTTATCGCTCGCCGCACACACCAGCTTACCGAGCGATCGGCGTCCACCGCCCCGGGCGGTGTCACGACACCCCGGCGTCAAGCCGCAATACAAGTCAGCGACGACGCCCGGCTCCCAGAGCCCAAAGAGATAGAAGAAGCTATTTACAGAAAATCGGACCACCCACAAGGCTTCCGTACTCACTCGCTTCAGGCGTGGCCTACAAACCACGTGCTCTAGGCCTTGCTCACCCCAGGATGCAGACCGCATGGCTCTCATCCCAATTCAACAACGGTTTTGAAAACTAGCACAACAAAAAAAAAAACACTTGCGAGCAGAAAAAAAAATTAAAACTCAACCTGTCGACAAGTTCAACACATCACAAAACCAATCTCCTCGCTTCGAGAAGTCCCCCCTAGGCCTACTCTTGCGCGGCTCAAACAAAAGATTGTACCGAACCGCAAAAACTGTCGTCCGATACTCCAAGAGCTCCACGTTGGGCAGCCAGTGCCGGGTCTCGAATTGGCGAGCATGCACCACGCCACGCTCTTGGAGTGAACGGACACAGTAGACGTGGTCGGTACAATACTAAACAACATACATACATTTATTTAACTAATTTAGACAACGATATCGTCCGCCAACTAATATCAGGAATGAACACGCTAGGACATCATTACACAATAACGCGACAAACACACAGCATGACACACCCAAGACCGCAGCGCCAACGCTTGACTTACCACGTGGGCCTACCGCAGGCGGCCCACGGTGCCGTCCACGGCAGGCCCACCGTGAGAGACAACCGTTCACGGCAGCCGCCACGCGCAGAAGAGGCTCGCGCAACTCTCGCCCGCCACCAAGGCCTGCCTTGCGCCTGGGGTCACCGCCGGCGCTACCACTCTACCAACAGTGGTACTCAACGCGAACACAACACCATCTATCGCCCGGCGGTCGTCACCCGAAATGCGGCCTTGGGGCGAGACACATGCGCCACACGGTGCAGACAGCTTTACAGGGGGGTGTCAGCACCCCCACAATCTGTACTCTCTTGGACTGCTGTATTGTAAGCAAAAGTTACGTAAGGGAGTATATCATCCCAGTTCTTGTCATCAACAGCCACATACATTGACAGCATATCTGCAATGGTCTTGTTCAACCCTTCAGTGAGTCCGTTTATTTAGGGGTGATAACTCGTGGCTTGCCGATGTTCTGTACCACTTAGTCTCAGCACCTCTTGAAGCATCTCTGCGGTGAAAGCTGTACCACGATCAGTAATTATAACGGCTGGCACTTCGTGACGAAGCACGATGCTGGTGACAAAAAACGGGCGATTTCAGCTGCGGTAGCTTTGGGCAGGGCCTTTGTTTCGCTGTAATGCATTAAATAATCGGTGGCAACCACAATTTAGCGGTTTCCAGACGAAGACGTGGGAAACAATCCGGGCAAGTTAATGCCAATTTGATAGAATGGTGTTTTCGTCGTGGCGATAGGCTGTAGTAGTTTCGCTGGTTGGAAAGGTGGAGTCTTACGACGTTGGCAGTCGCGGCATGTGCGAACGTACTGTATGACTGTCTTCGCGAGGTGGGGCCAGTAGTATGAGTGGTGAATTCTTTCCAAGGTGCGCATGCAGCCAAGGTGTCCGCATGATGGTTCGTCGTGACAAGCATGTAAAATATCGTCCCGAAGCGAAGTCGGCACAACGAGTAAATGAGTAGCCTGGGTATGGTCGAAATTTTTCTTATAGAGGACTTCATCCCTGATGCAGAACGAGGCCAGCGAACGTGCGAAGTTTCGAGGAAGGCTGCATTTTCGGCCTTCGAGGTAGTCAATCAGCGCGCTTAGCTCCATGTCGTCGTGTTGTTGTTGAGCCAGGTCGGTTGCTGATACAGAGGAAAGAAATGTATCGTCCTCTTCAAGGTTCGCGTTCGTACTTCCAATTGGCGCACGTGAGAGACAGTCAGCATCAGTGTGTTTGCGTCCTGACTTGTGAATGACTGTAACGTCAAATTCTTGCAGCCGAAGGCTCCACCGTGCTAGACGACTGGAAGGATCTGTGAGGTTGGCGAGCCAGCATAAAGAATGGTGGTCGCTAACTACCCTGAATGGTCAACCGTACAAATAAGGGTGAAACTTTGTTATAGCCCAAACAACAGCTAAGCATTCTTTTTCTGTTGCAGAGTAGTTTTTCTCTGCAGATGATAGTGTTCGACTTGCATAGGCAATCACGCGCTCTACGTCATTTTGCCATTGAACCAGTACATGAACCAGTACAGCTCCAAGTCCGACGTTGCTGGCATCCGTGTGTAGCTCTGCGGCAGCGTTGTCGTCAAAGTGACCGAGTATAAATGGGGATTGGAGATGGTTTCGTAGCGTGTGAAAGGCGTGATGCTGATCATCACCCCAAACAAACGGTACACCGTCTTTCGTAAGTTCAGTTAGTGCTTCGGCGATCTTAAAAAAACCTTTGACGAAGCGTCTCTAATATGCGCAGAGTCTTAGAAATCGATGGAGATCACGCTTGTTT